AGGAAACTTGAGAGAAAACACTTAGTGTTGCATACGAAAACTGAAAATCTTCAATGACAGGGCTGGACCAGATATAAGGATTGAACATGATTAGTTAGCTAAATGGATGCAATGATGATAACTTTCTCTTTTCCAATATAGTTAATTTTGGCTTCTTTTTTTTTCCTGGCAGAGAAATGCTAGATGCTGGGAATTATTCAAATGACACACATCATCTGATGGAGGGTATCACTTTTGATGCCAAGTTAGCTTCGAAATATGCAAATGGCTCTATCACAGCCACACACTTTATCCACAGAGAGACAGGAGATGTTAGAAACAATATTATAACACTCTTTTATTCATTATGCAGTGATAGAACTAATTAATAACTGTTATGATTTTTAAATAAGCCAAGGTATATGCAAAACAATCTAATTTCTCATTGGTTTACATTTAAACCTCTGATTCCCATATTATTATATCACAAAGGTAAATGAAGAAGAATAAAACAAACAAAAACATATTCTTTTACTTAAAAAAGGATATAATCTTTCTCTCTCTCTCTCTCTCTATATATATACTGTATATATACTGATTCCTTTTCAGAATAATCTATAATTAAAAGCGTTATACAGAATAAAGTATTTTGAAAGAGTTACTTTGAATCTGTCTCTTTGAGAGTTAAAGCATAGAATAAGAAATAAAGTAATTCCTGTGATGGCAAAGCTGAATTATCAGCAGCCATTACTCTAGCCTTTAGTCTAATATACTGATTTGACTAATTCAGATGTTGCATTCTCAGACAAAAGATGCTAAGTAAATAATCAAAGCTATAAAAGGTGACATTAAAGAAGAGAAGGAAATCGGTCTGAAAGTTGGTAAAAATTAGATACTGAAAATGCTGTTATCCAACTCAAATATCTTGCTACACTGCAGGTGCCAACATCAGTCTCCTCTCTTACTGGCATCTAACTCTCTCTTCACCTCAGCTGTCATGTTCCTCAGGTCTAAGCGTGAGAAAGCAACAGGTCTGGAAATTCACTCACAATAAAATAAGTCTCTAGTTTCTCCAAGAACACAGCAGGAGGAGGAACCCATGCCCTTGCACTACACGCGGGTTCTGTATGATAGATAAACACTACCCCAAGATTTAAACAGAATGAGCAGGAATCACAGGTTACTTGTTGAACACAGCAGGGTTTTCTAATGGATGATTGAGGGGATTAATATCCTAAGGATCACAGCAGGTGAGAAATCAAACACAGATTCAACCTTAAAGGGGAGCTGCCCCTTTTTACAATATGTAATACAAGTCTCTGGTGTCCCCAGAATGTGTCTGTGAAGTTTCAGCTCAAAATACCCCACAGATCTTTTATTATAGCGTGTCAAATTTGCCCCTCTTTGTGTGTGAGCAAAAACACGCTGTTTTTGTGTGTGTGCCTTTCAATGCAAATGAGCTGCTGCTTCCGCCCCCTTTCCAGTAGAGGGCGAAAACTTTACAGCTCACACTTCAGATTGAACGTCAACAACAAAACCGGAGAATCTCACAAAGCCAAAATGTCAGAAATTATTTATGAAATATGCAGACAGAGATCGTTTTTGGGATAAAACTAATGACATAGCTCTGCTCTCTGTGAATACAGTGAGAGACAGTGGTAACTTTAGCCACATTAACGGTACAGCATGCTAACAAGCACATCCGGAAATGCAATTTGGAAACATTCAGAAAATATGAGGTGATTCTTACTTGTTCTGGATATGATGTTTGAGCATGAACAGCTGGTATTGACCCATCTTTCAGAATCAGCTGCTGTGCAAATCCTGTGTTGAACTGACCCATGTTTATGAAGCAGTCCAGCATAAAATGATTTGCACAAATATATAGGTCTCTTCAGCACATTTCCTTCCATAAATGAAATTCATTCACAGTGTTCTCCATGGCTCAGATGCCGACAGTCTTTATTTGTACATCCAAAAACAACATTTGTAATGTTTATGTGGTGCAGACAATGAGTGCGTTTACATGCACCCTTTTAATGCGATTATAATGAGTTTTTGGCAATACTGCAATTAAACTTTACCTCATGTAAACGCAATACTTCGATCTAAATAATGCGATTAAGCTCATAATCGCAGCAAGCATAATCGTATTAACATAGGTGGCGTATGCTGATTTTAATCGAAATATACAGGCATGTAAACACCTTAATCGCATTATTGCCGCTTTGACCAAAGTGCGCATGCGCTCGTGACATACATGAATGACATGACGCACACCTGCAGTAATACGCAGATTAGGAAACGATGGTGGGAAAGAAAGCATCGCATTTCTGGGGAGCCGAGGAAACAGAGTTCATGTTGTAGACGTTGCGCGATATTAACATAATGCAGTACATTGATGGACGAAAACACAGAAATGGGGACATTTTTAGGTGCTTCACAACAAAATGTCCGAGCCCGGATACACAAGAACCGGAGAACAAATTTGCGTTTATAATGAATAATGGAAATTGCATGTAAATGGGAGTGAAGAGCTTTGCTCTTGACATGTAAACATCATAATGCGATTACGTCCTTACTCTGATTATTGGAAATAATCGCATTATTCGTGCGTATGTAAACGTAGTCATTGTGTAAATATAGGCACTATAGTGACAATATAAACATGGCGGACTATGTGCGGTTCAATCGGGCCAGGGTCAATGTGAATAGGGCAGATTGTCAACAGTAATGGGCGGGCTTACCCCTACTGTGATGTCACAGTAGGGGGAAATCTGAAACAGCGTAAATTCAGACACTGCTTCTGATTTATGGGGATTATATAAAAAAAAGATTGGGTGGATTTTTACCATTATAAGCTGGTTGTTTACACACTGTGGATACACATTAGGGGTGCAACGATTCTCTGTAAAAAATCGAACCGTACGGTTCTCCACACACGGTTCGGCATGCACTAGGACATCGGTTCAACTGAAATCTGACAATGCATCTGTAATATGGTTTGTTAGAGTTTGGCTAATGCATGTTTCTGTTGATGGATACAAATTCTGGCTTCCCAATACATTACAACAAGTGCGATGAGAGAGAAAAAAACAATACGTGGACAAACCAGTCACTCTTTGTTCAATGCGAGTGCTGTATGCTGGAATAACTGCCATTTATGCCGGCATCACGTGTTGATAGCGCAGGTGAGACCAGAACAGCACACGTTGCTATCCGTGTTTAGACTAAACTCATTTAAGCCTTGCCAGTTTAAATATTAAAGAGCCAGAAGAGGCGAACTCGCGCGCGCAGTGAGAAGATCTGTGTGTGCGCTCATCCGAAGCGCGTGAACCCGCGTCTCAGAACGCGCGTAAATATTAAGCTCTCTTTGAAGTATTGTGCTTGAATGGACAAATTCACACAAAAAATATGTCAAAATGCCCGTCTTGGTGAGTATCCTAGCAGACATAGTCGGCTGAACAAACAGTATCAGTGCACTGGATCAGTGCGTTCTCAGTGACAGCACTTTCTTAAAGTTAATTAAACAGCAACAACACGGAAATCACTCACTGCTCTTGATTGAACAACTTCTGTAACTTTAATAAGGAATAATTTTTAATTTATACAGTCAAATATGCAATGTAGTTTTACATTTGATTACTTTATTCAATTTCTGTACCTAAAAACTGTTAGACCTACCTAAAAAACCTGAAAAGCACTGTTTATTTTATTTCTATCTTTGCTCTATTGCATTTATTTGTCCTGTTGCTTGTAGTTAGATTATTTGTTCTTATTTTCTTTATTTTTATTTGACAATATAGTTTTTTTCCTAAACATAGCACATACCGAACTGTACCGAAACCGTGACTCTAAAACCGTGATACAAACCGAACCATGAGTAAGTTGAACTGTTGCACCCCTAATACACATCAGTGTTCAAACACAATGTAAAAGTGAATTTTGCACAATAGGTCCCCTTTAAACCCGATAGCTACTCTGAGAGATGACATGCTAATGAACAATCTCAAAATGCTCGGTGATTGTGGCACTTGAATGAAGGGAAGTGGATTTCATTTATCCAACACAGAATATCTATCTATATCTATCTATCTATCTATCTATCTATCTATCTGTCTGTCTGTCTGTCTGTCTGTCTGTCTATCTTACCGTTAAATGTCATTTATTCCTGTCTTCCTTTACTCTAGTCTTCAGTGTCACATTCAGAAATCATTCTAATATGCTGACTGGGTGCTCGAGCAACAATTATTATTATCAATGTTGAAAACAGTTGTGCTGCATTAATTTGAAATAAATCTTTTGAAATGTTATAAATGTCTTTACTGTCACTTTTGATGCAATTTAATGCATCCTCGCTTTAAAAAAAACTTGCTTCCCACATATACAATGGTAGTATATATGTGGGATGGAAACCAGACTACTGATATTATAGAAATACGGAATAATGGGTAAAGGAGTGTGAAGCTAGATTGGCAAATGACACAAACTGGTCTTCAACTTACATTGACTATTTAAGTACCACAGCTCAACTGGTAGAATAAAATAACAATGAATGAATATTTCATGCTATGCTGAGTAGGAAATGGAAAGCCTAGTTCGGAAACTGATATTTTTCCTGAAGTCCTTCATACACCAGTCCATTATATAATGTTTCAGTCACAGAGCTGAAGAAAGAAGACTTTCTCTTTAAACATGGTTGGGGCAGTTGCACTCATTTGACGCATGAGACACTGGAGCTTCTTCCTTCGAAGTACTTCGAAGAGCGTCCTTCTATTTGATGTGGTACCCAACTGAGCCAAAGCAACTGAGTATTTAGTGATTCAGCAGCCTGCAGATGTGTGCGTTCAGCATAAAAACTTGCAAGGAATCAAATATAGTGCATTTACTATGAACTCTCAAATATCAAAACAACAAACATTGGAGAGATTACACAGAGATTAATTATTTGAGACAATGTTTTTCAAAGTTCATGCTCAACTACAAAGGCAAAAAAACCACTCGTTCATGGGAACTCATACCTTTGCAATCTGCACGCACCAGTTGAGCAGCAGCTGGGAGCCGATGTTCTCCTGGTGTTCATGTACATAGTCCAGCAGGCAGCCGTGGGGCATGAGCTGAGTTACCAGCTGAATAGTGGGACTCAAGCAGACCCCCAAAAGATGGACCAGATGAGGATGCTCCATGCTGGCCATGATCAGTGCTTCCTAGAAGACAAAAACAGAAACACCGAAAATGTGCTGTTTTCATCAACACCCTCGATATGCAGTATGTAAACTCTAGGTCCAGTTAGTATTACGAAGTAGGGTAGGAGCCAAACTAGCGTTTATCGCCAACTACCTCACAATACAATACATATTGGGAAAGAAAGGACAGTAAAGGCATTTATAATGTTACAAAACATTTCCACTTAAAATAAATGCTGTTCTTTCAAACTTTTTATTAATCAAAGAATCCTAAAAAAAGATGCATGAAGGTTTCCACAAAAATATTAAGCAGCACAACTGTTTTCATTACTGATAATAGTAAGAAATATTTCTTGAGCAGCAAAGTAGCATATCAGAATGATCACTGAAGGATCATGTGACACTGAAGACTTTTGATTAAATAAATGCATAAGAGCATAAGAGACTAAGAGCATAAGAGACTTTTTTCAAAACCGTACCGACCCCAAACTTTTTACTTTTACTATAGTGTACATTTATGCAATAATGCAGTTACAGAAAGCAATTGCAAAACAAACCTGGTATAAAAACTTGTCATTCACCTGACCCCTTGCATTCAATACAAACTTTAAGACAGGGGTGTCAAACTCAGTTTCTGGTGGGCCACAGTCCTGCAGGGTTTAGCTTCAACCATAATTAAACACACCTGACCCAGCTAATCAAGTCCTTCAGGTTTATTTGTAAACTATATGGTTTGTGTGTTGGAGCAGGGTTGGAATTAATGATGCATTCGATTTAACTCGGAAGTTGGATGTCGGAGCTGAGAATGCCATTACACCCAAGTGGACCGTGTTCCAGTACAGCAGTGGTTTTCCAACTATTGGAACAACTAGAGCGACCCTATTATTATTTTTTTTCTTTTTAAATTGACGCAACTCATATATATAAACTTTGAAGCATGTTCACCACGTTGGTCCTCTTAGCATCATGAAAAACAAAACTTTTATTCAAATTCTGATTGGATTATATATAGCCAAGAATATATATAATCCCTTAATAATCACTGAAAAGCTGTCACTCATTTCAGTTTATCGCAATCTCAGAAAATTCAGTTAATAATAATCAATGAATTTCTCTACACTGTACAATAAATATCTTATTTACATTGTGTCTATACTTTGTTTGTTACAATGAGAGGATGAGCTTGCAGAACTCAGCACTGAAAAGAACACCTGTGTTTTGAGCAGTGAGTGGATTCTGATTGGCCATTGCATTCAAGAAATCAACAAATATGTCTGTGATTGGCTACAGTGTTCAAAGCTGCAAAAACACGTTGTAAACCTTTGATGCTCTCCAGAGCGCAAACAGAGAGATATGCACTGGAGTCTGCTGTGAGGTGGTTTTACATTCATTTTGTTGTTTGTTATTAAAGTTATGTTTGCTGGTTCACGCTTCCTTCTTCCCAGAGTCTTGAGCTTTGTTGCATACATATATACATTATTATTACTTTTACTTAAATTACTTTCATTATTATTATTATTACTTAAATCATCCTGACGACCCATTTTATGTGTCGCGACCCATGGTTGAAAACCACTGGAGTAGAGAAGTCAGAAAACATGTAACAGAGTTCACTCATGTTAGCATTAGCAGTGTTAGCAAAAACAGAGCATTACACTGCATTTTGTAACTGCAGACACTCACACACACCATAGTGACATGTTCACAGATAGAGGTTGGGCAGTAATGACTCAATAATGACATGGGAATATAACAGAAACGCATAATATTGAAGTATTTATAGCTTTCACTTTTGCTCATGTAGGGAGCAGCCATTTTGAATTCTCAACTTGGGGTTGAGTGAGATAGACCGAGTTCCCAAGAGTGAGTGTTCCATTTGGAAAACCCGACATGGAGCTCTGAATTTGTCTGAGTTTGACACCCCTGCTTTAAGATAGCATCTCAAAGCCATATAGCCTTAAAAGCAATAGCTTAACTTGGTTAGTCTAACGTTAAATGTATTTAACAATGCATGTAATTGCCAGAAAATATTGCGTTGCTTAGAGTTATTTGATTTGCACTGTGGGTGAAATGGACATTCTCAGTAAATCCATTCAGTTGTCTGTTCTTGCATTCTTATTTTGCAAATGATGGTAAAAAGTAAAGTAAAGTAAGGTTTAATTGTAAATTACTCACATCCATAAACTCCACATTGGCTTTAGGTCCTGTGCTTTCATTGAGTATCTTTATAGCCACTGGAATCTTCACCGTTTCCCCTTCTGGAACCCAGACTCCCTTATAAAGAAGATGACAGATGAAGTCAATGACATGCTAAATTGTAAAAAATATATTGTTGAGAAAACACAAAACTCATATAAACACAAAAATCATAAAAGCGAATGTAGTACCTTGTAAACAGTGCCAAAGGCTCCTGTTCCCAAGATCTTTACCCTCTTGAGCTCCGTCTCCTTCAGTATACGTAACTGTGCCTGGTTGGGCGCCGTGCCGCTTGGCGTTAAAGGTTCCACCAACTGCTCAAAAGACATTTACAACACCAAAATCACTCAACATAATCACAAATTCATACATAACTACAATGTCTAATTTAGTTTCATCTGTCAGCCACAGGTTGGCACCATAATGGACACATTTTCGGTCTGATTTCATTATTGTCATCATGTACAAATGTATTCATTTGGTTATAGTCAGTAGGTTATATTCTTGGTTTTGGTTTTTAAGTTTTCAGTTTGCATTGCTCAGTCTTTGTTCTCCCCTTCTTTACTTCTCAAATTAAGCCTGTGCTTATACAGAGATTCTTTCAGTGACATTATTTAACTTGACTCACCATTTTTAAGCTGATCTTTAGGCTTATCAAGAGGTTAATGAAATTGCTTCTAATCTCAGACCGAGATCCAATTTCATATCCCTTCAACAGAGATTTTAGGACCCCAAACTCAAAACTACAAGGCATTTTGACATCATGTTCAACCCATTTCTCAATTTTAAAGACCATACAGTTTACAATTTAAAAGAACAATACAGGAAAATACAACAGATAATATTGTTTATAATTCTGCATTGTATGTAAGACTCCCTCTCTCTTTCTTTGCATGTGTGTGAGAACCAGTGCTCTCAGCAAAACGATGGCAATTCGTTCACCTTTACACTAGTGTTTACGGTAGGTCAAATACAGGTACGCTGAGCATCCATTGAGATGAACTGAAAAATAGCACAGATCGCTTGACGGAGAGTGAAACTCTGAAGAACTCAGTTAGAGTGTTCGGCCTCCAACTCACACACTGCCGAGCAAAATCTAAGAATTTATTAGCAAATGGCTAATGTTAGACATAATTTTGTCGCATATGCGAGTGATTTATTCACATTGTAGAGGGTTGACTTGCCACTAAAAACTTTGCCAAATTACAAAACCATACCAAAAACCAAACCAAAACCATGTATAAAACCATACACAATTAGTTGATAAGAGTTTTCACAATTACAAAGCACAATTCATATCACCTTACAGTGGTCCCCCACTTTTCTTAACCTTCAAGGCTTTTCATAGTGTTTGCACCTCATTATCTATGTGAGCTACTGCATCCATATATTCCTGCACTAATGTCCGGACCTCTAAGTTCAGATTGCTACTTTTTTCCTAGATTTCAACCCTTTTGGGTGACAGATCTTTAAGTGTTTAGGTAATTCACTTCCATTGACACTTTCCAATATCTTTCCATTTCCACCTTTAAACCTCAACCAAAAACTTTCACAACATTAACCCTTCCTCTCCTAAGTTCTCATTCTTAATTTTCTGTTAGTTTTCCTTTATTTATTTATTTATTTTGATTGCAAATACACTTTGACCTCTAGAAAATCACCATTTAAATAAAACGCCCAATGGTTGCCATGGACAGACCTAATTTCCAAATAGTTTAATTAATATTAATCCTGATATTGAGTTTTCTTGCCGAAAAAAAGAAAGACAAACACAGCAAATACACCTTCAAAACTGGATTTATCTGCAAGAAATAGATACTGAAATAGCAGATCAATTTAGTGCTTTACACTCCTTAACACCTAACAGAACTGCAGATTCCATAATATTGACTTAAACTTTATATCAAATGCACATACTCACACACATACTGGCTGCAGGACATTTTGAAGAACTTTCATAAGTTTTCATTTAAGGATCTGAAAATGATCTACATTATTCCTTTTGAGGTTTCCCACCATTGAAGTGAGAGGGGCACTTTCAAATGGAAAATTGAGAGTGGTTATAGACCCCATAGACCCATTCATGCACCACCACACCAATTTCACTGGCCAGGCTTTCTGTCTGCATTTTTTATTTTCTCTCTGACTGTGTGTCTCCTGAGACTAAATGTTTTTCAAATTTATTTACTGCATCCAAATTGTTCAAATTATTTTAAATGTTGTGTGATTTTTAGCTCTCACCTCTGTTTCTAGGAAACGGCGCAAGGCTCTTTTCTTCTTGATGCTCTTCCGTCGGAAAAAGATAGCAAATCCAAGGGCCACGATTACAACCACAAACATCCCTCCAATCACCCCAGCTGCAATCAGAGGAGTCCTGGAGGAAAACGCAAGGACTTAAAACATGAAACATAATATACTGTAGGAACATTTACATTTTTCATTTTAGATTTTTATTGCCATTTTAAGAGAAGTGCCCAACTAGGAAAATGGCATTATCAATGAAATCAGTTATTCAAAAATACTCACTATCCTATTCTTTTTCTTTTTCTGTTAATATTAAAAGTAAGAAAAAAATGGGTAACTCTCAGTAAAAACCTGAACTTTTAAGAAGGCCTACTGCATTTCCAGAAATAGTGCCATGTTCTTTCAAATCATAACACCTAATTATCACACATTCAAACCAACTCAATTATCAAAATACTTTCTATGCTTAACAAAGGTATGAAAAGTTCTCTAAAGGGAAACAAATAAAAGCTACTTGGAAATATTCTGTAATGTGTTGACTGTATTTAATTAATTGATTTTTAGTTTCCTAAAGTGAAGTGTCAGAACTGTAGTTATGAAAACCGTCTCTAGGTTACATATGTAACCATGGTTCCCCGAGGGAATGAGACGCTGCGTCGAGATTCGCTTTGGGAACGCCCATGCGTGACCGCGTTCTGAAGCATGTGTCAAATCAGCCCAATGGAGTAGCGAGGCGTCACGAGCTGGGTGACGTAAGCACCAGAAAGTATAAAAGCACATCCGGCAGAGTGCAAACCAGCTTCGATGAAGTAGCGCCTGCAGGGATGCAGGGAGTATGGCAAAGAGACGCAGCGTCTCGTTCCCTCGGGATACCATGGTTACATACGTAACCTCCACAGTCTCCTCTGTCTCGACACTCATCACCTCTACCTCCTCTGAGGAAGATAGATGAAGTGCCTGGCTCTCTCTCCAGGGGGAAGAAACTTAGAGATGTTCAGGGCTTCCGAACCCTGAGAGAGAGCCGCGGATCTAGCGGGTGAAAAGGACGAGCCCGTTTCGGATCCCTCCACTAAATCCACTTGCGATCCCCATGACAACAGTCTGCGCTGTGCCTCGGCAACAGCGGGACCGCTGCCAGCGGGATCGCCCCACGATATTGGAATAATTAGACACTGTGGGGCTATAGATACGGGAAGAATACGGTTTTTCCCACGATCTTGACACCTCGGCATGGAGATTGGGAAAAAACGGAAGGCCCCGTCGTGAAGGCTGTGATCTAGCCCTTAGGAAACGCTCGTCTAATTTGCTTTTAGGATCAGCGTCCTGTTTCTCGGCTGGCCAAACGATATTTAACTTGGCTACAGCACGAGTCACAACCTCCACGAGCTCCTTATACGCGAGGGACTGCGGTGGCGAGTCCACAGTCTCCTCTGTCTCGACACTCATCACCTCTACCTCCTCGGAGGAAGACCTCCGCTAAATCCACTTGCGATCCCCATGACAACAGTCTACCCTGTGCCTCGGCAACAGCGGGACTGCTGCCAGCGGGATCACGAGCCTGGCCGCTCTCATCAAACACGGCGAGAGCGGAGCGTGCGCAGCGAGAGCAGCTCGCAGTCATGACAATTAGCCCCCTCGAGAGCTGACCGTGCATGCTCCGCTCCCAAACAAACGACACAAATAGTGTGTATCCCCCGCCGCCAGATATCGTAGGCAGGGAGGAACACAGCATTTGTAATGCCGTTCGCTCGCCTTCATAGACTTTTTCATGATATTGTTTTATAAATGTTTGTGCTGACAGACAACAGTAAATAGACAGACACATACACAGAGCGCTACTGAAGAGCAGAAGCTGGTTTGCGCTCTGCCGGATGCGCTTTTATACTTTCTGATGCGTACGTCACCCCGCTCGTGACGTCTCGCTACTCCATTGGGCTGATTTGACACGTGCTTCAGAACGCGGTCACGCAGGGGCGTTCCCAAAGCGAATCTCGACGCAGCTCGAGTTCCTGAAGGGGTACTTTGCTTTTGACATTCATATAGTATATATTATTTATATAAGGTTAAATCCAGAAAAAAAAAAAACATTTAGGCGTTTACCTGTCCAGCATTCCGATACAATCTTGGATCCGGGGTCCAGTACACCTATGACACAGACAAGATTAAAAAAAAAAAAAAAACACAATTATGATATGGATTACTACTAATGATGATGATGCTTTTTTTTAAATATTACCTTTACACATTAAATTAATCAAAAGTGACAGTAAACACTTACATTGTTACAAAACAAATATTTCAATTAAATGGTGTTCTTTTGAACTTTCTATTTATCAAAAATGTATTATGGTTTCCACAAAAATATGAAGCAGCACAACTGTTTTCAACAATGATAATAATAACAAATGTTACTTGAGCACCAAATCAGCATATTAGACTGATTTCTGAAGGATCCTGTGACAGTCAAGACTGGAGTAATGATGCTGAAAATTCTGGAATAAATTACATTTTAAAATGTACTCAAATAGGAAACCGTTATTTTAAATGGTAACAATATTTCACAAAACTATTGTTTTTGCTTTATTTATTGATCAAATAAATGCAGCCTTGGTGAGCATAAAAGACTTTTCAAAAACATTTGAAAAAACCTTACCTAGCCCAAGCCTTGGAAACGTTGTGTATATCGCTCACTTTTGGTAATGAATGTGTACCATGTTAACTGCTGATCTACCTAGTCATCTGTCTAGCATTAGCCTCTTGCATGAGCTTCAGTATAGCCTGAAATGATCTCCAGAGCTCTACATACAGGGATAAGGCATGTTGGAGCACCGTGACAGTGGTGACTGGGTTCAGTAATCATAGAGAACAGTGCTGAAGAGCGCATGCCTGACTGTAACCAGCGGCGATGACTGTCACCCACAAGATGAAGGGCTCACGAACCCTTTTATTATGGTGTCCTAGAGCATTACAAGAGCTTTGATTTGAGAGCCAAGACAGACCAGAGCGAAGCAGAGGTTGGGTCTCTAGTATGTCCATGTGCAGTATGATCTGCTTCAGATCTACGGGATGTGACACTGAAGGCCTGTGGAACTGCACCCAAATTCGCCATCTCACTGGGTACTCAAAGTTTAGATAGTGACATGAAAACTGGGCTGTTTGAATGAATGCAGACATTTATAAGATTTCCAAGATGAAACTGAGCAAAAGATTTGCCTAGAGCAGGGCTAGTGAACCAAGGAAAACTCAGGGGCCACAAAGAAGGATCCCTTAGGCTCAAGGGCCACACTTCTTCCTTTTCTTTTCTTTTATTTTCTTTCCTTTTTTTTTTTAAATAATTATTTATATAAAAGTGAGTAAGCTACTGTATGTGTGGTATGTGTTATGATCAAATCATATTATCAATATTTTTTGATTATTATTGTACAGGTATATCACTCAAGCAAATTATTCGTAACAAACTAATGATAATTCTGACATTCTTATGATAAAAACAGCTTCACAATATGTAACAATTTAACACGTAGTAACACTTTTTCTTAGTAGCATTTTAATTTAGTAAAATAGTATTTTTTCATTCTATTAATTCATGAATAATTAACTAATACTTAACTAATTATTAATTATATTTCATGATATATTTTAATTATTATTATTATTTTTTTGTCTATTATTATTATTTTTTTGTATTAATATTATTGTGCAACATTTATTTGTTTCTTGTAACTGTTTTAAAAGTTGACATGTAGATAAAGCTTTACTTACACTGTTGTGCAATTTTATTTTATTTTTGAAATAAAGACATTTATTTCAGCAAGGACACATTAAATTGATCAAAAGTGACAGAAAAATATTTATATTTCAAATAAATGCTGTTCTTTTGATCTCTCTACTCATCAAATAATACATTTTCTTGGTAAAATGTTAAACAGCACAAGGTTTTTCAACATCAATAACAATAATACATGTTTCTTGAGCAACAAATCAGCATATTATAATGATTTCTGAAGGATCAAGTGACACTGAAGACTGGAGTCATGATGCTGAAAATTCAGCTTTTCATCACAGAAATAAATGACTTTTTTAAATATATTCAAATAGACAAACTGATATTTTAAATTGTAATAATATTTTGCAATATTACTGTATTTTTTTATCAAATAAAGGCAGCCAGGTTGAGCATAAGAGATGAATTATTACTGACTTCAAACTTTTGAACAGTAGTGTACAAAGAAAAAATGATTAGATAAGCCATGTTTGAAGCTGCTGTAACTACTGTCAAATGGTATTTACCACTATATCTGGCTCCTTATTAACAAGGCAAGAAGTCGGTAAGATGTTTGTAATGCAATTATTGCAGTTGCCATAGCGATTATAATCACTCAAGCCTCAATAGAAAAGGCTCTCTGTGTTAAGTAGCACTAGCCTGTAGGAAAAGGCAAACACACATGCATGCAGATACATACCCCTGGGTGCAGTTGGGGTGGCAGGGATGGCACTCGTTGTTGGTCTCAGCATATTTGAAGATGAAGCTGTTTGCTCCCTGCAGACCATCAGGGCATTTCTCTACACAGTTGGGTCCGTCTTTGAGATGCAAGCACTTCAAGCAGTGATCTGGACCCTAAACCATGCAGACCAAACACACGAGAATGACCTATTAAATGTTATTTGTCTAGGAGTCATACTTGAGGATGGATAAATAAAGGAAAATAACTACTTACAATATTTTATTGATGCTTATCCCAAATATTTTATGCACATGGCACTTTTTGATAATTTCTAATGAGTTTGAGCAACTTTCATTAAACTTTTACTTAAATTACATTGCGGTGTTGACAACATAAACAAATTCATACATATTTGATCTAAGTAATTGCCCATTTTGAGACAGGCGTCACACGGTTGGACGAGTTCTTACATTCTCTGACAGCTCTGATGTTGCTAATTATGCATCTTAGGAATTGAGATGGACAGGCACATTATCATAAGAAGCTGACAGCTTTGTTCATCTGCATTTAAAGTCTAAAACTTCAGCCCTTTCATTTTTACATTTTACAGACAAAATAGAGGACTGTTCACTTAATTTACTGAACAATGTCAAAAAATATCATAATGATGGCCCTGATGGGTGGGGTTTGAATAGTGGGGCAAAATTAAAAGGCATTTAAAAAATCATCAACATGAAATGGCATTCAGAGTCTATTTTACTCAAAAATGTAGGGTGAAATTTGATAGGGAAAAGTCAAGGCAAGTTAATGCATTTTTATGAAAGATTACGAAGACGAACATTTTTTTTTCTTTTTATTTTTTTCCAAGGAAGTCAATTTGATCAATTCTGATGATGTTGACTTTAAATAGCACTGCTTGGTTTACTTACAGGGCCATGACAGGTAAGAGATTTATCTTCGGCCTTTTCACACTGGCTGTCACACTCCACACATACAGATCCATTGGCAAACTCTCGAACATCTCTAAAATATACACACAAATAAGTCACTGGAAAAATACAACTACAAAAGGGTTAATTAAACATTATACATTCAAATAATATAAATATTTCCTTAATTTAATTCTAAGTAAAGTAAAATAAAATAAAATAAAATAATAAAGGAATATGGTCATGCATAAATAATTGTCTTATAAATATTTCTTTATCAATCAAAATAATTTCAAAGGTGATGTATTCTCTCAGCAACAACACATATAGCAGGTTTTGTTTTGTCTCCGACTCATGTCTTCTTGAACCATGGCCAACTGAACCACAGACACTATATTCACACACTGGCAAGAACTTGGCTAATACACCAGACGGCTGAGTAAGATCCATGAAAAAATAATGGCATTTTAATTAGAAAAATCTTTCTCGGCACTGGTCTGAGAGGAAAGAACAAACAGTCCTCTTTAAATTTTATCTAACCAGATGGCAGCTCAGATTGCAGGAGATACGGCAGAGGGGCTGCCTAGCAGAGCCATCAATACCCTTTCCTTTGTTCATTTCCATCAGCCCATGTTTTAGAGGGAAATTTTGAGAGCTGGTTCTAAAACAGGGAAAGATGGTGCCTTGTCAATAACAGAGTGGGAATCAAAGAAACCTCCCAGATCTTAAAACGTAGGAAGTCGAGTGTACGAGTTCAAACAGATTAAAGTTTCTCACACTGGAAAAATGTACAGTCAAAGTGGAGGCTAATGTAAGTAAAGCTTTATTTATATAGCACCTTTTAAAACAGTGTTTACAAAGTGCTTTACAGGATAGAAAATTTACAATACACAATAACAAACATAAAAAAAATCACATAATAGAAATAAAATAATAAAATACAATAATAAAATGAGTCAAGGAAAGGCCCCAGTGAGCAAATGTGTTTTGAGATACTTTTTAAAAGTGCACAGTGAGTCGATGGCTCGTAGGTTGTCAGGAAGAGAGTTCCATAGCTTGGGACCGAAATAACTAAAGGCTGACTCCCCAATTTTCAGCAGAGTCTTAGGCACAACCAACACATTACTGTTTGATGTTCGGAGCGATCTTGCTGGAGTATATTTATTTAACAAATTAGAAAGATATATAGGGACAGTTCCATGAAGATATTAAAAAACTAATAAGAGGATCTTGAATTCAATTCTGAATGATACAGGCAGCCAGTGAAGGGATCTGAGTGTTGGAGTAATGTGATTTCTAATTTTAGAGTGAGTTAGCATTCGTGCAACTGCATTCTGAACTCTTTGTAAGTGTTTAATAGAGCTCTTTGGTAACCCAACAAAAACACTATTGCAGTAGTCAAGTCTGGACGTAACAAATGCATGAACAAGTTTCTCACTGTCAGAAGGGGAGAGAATGTCACGTATTTTGGAGATGTTTCTGAGGTGATAATATACTGTTTTAGTAACAATGATAATATGTTTTTTTAAAACTGAGGTCACTATCAAATATAATTCCTAAGTTCTTGGCCTGATTACTGGCTTTTAGTGATAGAGAGTCAAGTTGTGGAGCAATAGATCCTCTCCGCACGTCATTACCGATAACAAGTATATCTGTCTTATCTTTGTTTAGCTGTAAAAAGTTCTGGGACATCCACAATTTTATGCTCTCTATGCAGTCAAGTAGTGTGGAAATTGAATTATGGGCATCTGGTGCAAGTGAAAGGTAGAGTTGCATGTCATTGCATACTGGTGAAATGAAATATTGTACTGGTTAATTACACCAGCTAAAGGAAGCATGTATAGGTTAAATAACAGAGGACCCAAAAATCGAGTCATGAGGAACACCACAAGAAATGGTGTAACGCCTGGAGGTGTAGGTACCCAGTGTAACACAACATTCCCTGTGCTTAAGTAGGATCTGAACCAGTCTAAGACAGGACCTGATAGACAGACCCAGGTCTGAAGTCGGTCGAGTAGAATCTCATGATCAACGGTGTCAAAAGCAGCATTCCCTAACCAGAATCCCTAACCAAACTAAATTAACTACCTAAGACTTCTACTACAATTCTGAATGGGTCTTATTTTATTTTTCTTTACTTTTCTTTACTTTATATATTTAAATTATATTTAGCAAACATAATTTAAATTGATTCTCCAAATAAATAGAATCTCTTCTCTATATTGTTATCATTATGATCACACTTGTAATAATACTCGCTTTAATGAGCTTCTGCCTGAAATTAATTAATGTTAATTGTATGATTCTATTATCTTGAACTGTTCATTTGTGAAATGAACATTACTTGGACACATTCACTTCTGATAACAGATCACTCTAAATTGTAATGTAGACCAATACCCTTTCCTTTGTTCATTTCCATCAGCCCATGTTTTAGAGGGAAATTTTGAGAGCTGGTTCTAAAACAGGGAAAGATGGTGCCTTGTCAATAACAGAGTGGGAATCAAAGAAACCTCCCAGATCTTAAAACGTAGGAAGTCGAGTGTACGAGTTCAAACAGATTAAAGTTTCTCACACTGGAAAAATGTACAGTCAAAGTGGAGGCTAATGTAAGTAAAGCTTTATTTATATAGCACCTTTTAAAACAGTGTTTACAAAGTGCTTTACAGGATAGAAAATTTACAATACACAATAACAAACGTAAAAAAAATGAAATCACATAATAGAAATAAAATAATAAAATACAATAATAAAATGAGTCAAGGAAAGGCCCCAGTGAGCAAATGTGTTTTGAGATACTTTTTAAAAGTGCACAGTGAGTCGATGGCTCGTAGGTTGTCAGGAAGAGAGTTCCATAGCTTGGGACCGAAATAACTAAAGGCTGACTCCCCAATTTTCAGCAGAGTCTTAGGCACAACCAACACATTACTGTTTGATGTTCGGAGCGATCTTGCTGGAGTATATTTATTTAACAAATTAGAAAGATATATAGGGACAGTTCCATGAAGATATTAAAAAACTAATAAGAGGATCTTGAATTCAATTCTGAATGATACAGGCAGCCAGTGAAGGGATCTGAGTGTTGGAGTAATGTGATTTCTAATTTTAGAGTGAGTTAGCATTCGTGCAACTGCATTCTGAACTCTTTGTAAGTGTTTAATAGAGCTCTTTGGTAACCCAACAAAAACACTATTGCAGTAGTCAAGTCTGGACGTAACAAATGCATGAACAAGTTTCTCACTGTCAGAAGGGGAGAGAATGTCACGTATTTTGGAGATGTTTCTGAGGTGATAATATACTGTTTTAGTAACAATGATAATATGTTTTTTTAAAACTGAGGTCACTATCAAATATAATTCCTAAGTTCTTGGCCTGATTACTGGCTTTTAGTGATAGAGAGTCAAGTTGTGGAGCAATAGATCCTCTCCGCACGTCATTACCGATAACAAGTATATCTGTCTTATCTTTGTTTAGCTGTAAAAAGTTCTGGGACATCCACAATTTTATGCTCTCTATGCAGTCAAGTAGTGTGGAAATTGAATTATGGGCATCTGGTGCAAGTGAAAGGTAGAGTTGCATGTCATTGCATACTGGTGAAATGAAATATTGTACTGGTTAATTACACCAGCTAAAGGAAGCATGTATAGGTTAAATAACAGAGGACCCAAAAATCGAGTCATGAGGAACACCACAAGAAATGGTGTAACGCCTGGAGGTGTAGGTACCCAGTGTAACACAACATTCCCTGTGCTTAAGTAGGATCTGAACCAGTCTAAGACAGGACCTGATAGACAGACCCAGGTCTGAAGTCGGTCGAGTAGAATCTCATGATCAACGGTGTCAAAAGCAGCATTCCCTAACCAGAATCCCTAACCAAACTAAATTAACTACCTAAGACTTCTACTACAATTCTGAATGGGTCTTATTTTATTTTTCTTTACTTTTCTTTACTTTATATATTTAAATTATATTTAGCAAACATAATTTAAATTGATTCTCCAAATAAATAGAATCTCTTCTCTATATTGTTATCATTATGATCACACTTGTAATAATACTCGCTTTAATGAGCTTCTGCCTGAAATTAATTAATGTTAATTGTATGATTCTATTATCTTGAACTGTTCATTTGTGAAATGAACATTACTTGGACACATTCACTTCTGATAACAGATCACTCTAAATTGTAATGTAGACACGTGCATTTTCTGTAAAGCTGCTTTGAAACAATGTGTATTGTGAAAAGCGCTATACAAATAAATTTGAATTGAATTGAATCAGAACTATCTACCAATCTACATATCTGTAACTCTCAATGGTTTATTTTATTGTATTTTATTTTAAATTTAGGAATCATCATTCAAACTGATTCCCAAAATAATCAAAATGATCTACTTTATCTACTCATCTGTCCTACCTACATACCTACCTACCTACAACTATCAACAGTATATTTAATGTAATTAAATTTTTATTTTATTTTATTAACCAAACATAATTTAAATTGTCTCAATAAATAATTATAATCTGAACTATTAATTTTAGTTTAGTTTAGTTTAGTTTAAAAATTAAATTAACCAAACATAGTTTAAATTGATTCACCAAATAATCAGAATCAGAACTACTAAGGCTTCTGTCTACCCATCTACCTGCCTACAACTCTTAAAACTATTTTATTTTATTTTATTAAATTACATATTAAATTAAATAATCACAGTTTAAATTGATTCAGCAAATAATCAGAATCAGAACTATCTACTGCTATCTTTTTTAAATTGTAGTTTAAATTTAGGAAACATGATTTAATTTGATTCCCTAAATAATCAGAATTATCTACTTTATCTACTCATCTATTGTCCTACCTACATACCTACAACTAACAACAGAATATTTAATGTAATGTAATTTTATTAACCACACATAATTTAAATTGTTTCACTAAATAATTATTTTATTTTATTTTCACAAAACATTAATTTCTAAGAAATCAGAACCTGAAACCCAAATTCCTCCAGGAAAAACACATAACACTGCTCTCAGGTCTGAACTCTTGGTTGAGTGACTGGAGATGTTTGGCACATCCCCATTCATAGA